GGAGCTTGGAGGGGTACAGTCCATAGGGTCACAAAGAGTCAGACATGACTGAGCAACTCAGCAGGCAATCTTATTTAAGCACAAATATTTGGGGGTTTTCTGTTTTTGTAGATGAAACTAATGCTACTTACTCCATAAGTAGCTTATGGAGCTTACTCCATAAGCCTTCTAGCACTATCTAATGTTTTAAAATTGTATGTGTTTGACTAAAAAATAAATTTTGATTTAAAAATAAACATTTATACCCAAATCTGGCAAAAACCATTCAAGGAAAACATCACAGACCAATATCTCTCACGAACATAGGAATAAAAATTCTTGACAAAACTTTGGCAAATTGAATTCAGCCATTTGTAAAAAAAATAATGTACTACGACCAGATGGGGTTTATCCCAGGAATGAAAGGTCAGCACAGCATTCAAAAATCAAAATCAATCAGTGTAACTGACCACAATAACAGAACAAAGGATTAAAAACCAAGCAATCAGCTCAATAGATGCAGAAGAAGCATTTGAAAAACTCCAGTAATCCTTCACAATAAAGAGCCCAGCAATCTAAGAACAGAAGTAAATTTCTTAAGCTTGACAAAGGGCAATTCTAAAATAAAACTACAGCTAGCAACATACTTAATGGTGAAAGACCGAATGGTTTCCCCTGAGAGAGAAAAATGAGAAGATAACTGTTCTTTTTTTTTTTTCATTTATTTTTATTAGTTGGAGGCAAATTACTTTACAATGTTGTAGTGGTTTTCGCCATACATTGACATGAATCAGCCAGAGAAGATAACTGTTCTTAACACCTGTATTAAATACTATGCTGAAGCAGTAGGCAAGAAAGTGAAATTTTCCTTTCCACAGTTTGGAAAGAAAAAGCAAAACTTTCTTTATTTACAGACAACATAATTATCTACACATAAAATTCCAAGAAATTTTAAAAATAAGAATACCTACACTATAATTAGAACTAGTAAGTGAATTTAGCAAGGTGAAATATACAAGATCAATACACAAAAACCAATAAACCAGAACAAACACCTGGAAAAGTATAATCTTACAAATCCCACTGACACTGACATCAGCAAGCATCAGATATTTAGGGATAAATTTAATGAAAGATGTGTAAGATGTCTACAGTGAATTTTTCTAGTAGGTTATATAAGCTGAGAGATATTTAAAATACTTATTAATAAATAAAAGGCTAGATAGTTACATCACCTGCATGGATTAGAAGATTCAAGATTATCAAGATGTCAATTTTTCTTCTTCCCAAATTGATCTATAAATTTAATGCAACCCTATTTGAAAACAACTGTGGTTTCTACACTGACAAGGTAATTCTAAGTTTATATGAAATTTTAAAAATAATACAGTGAAGCTAAAATAGAATAAAAGAAGATCAGTGCTATCACAGAGATACATACGAGGGTTCTACAACTGCACAGAGGAAGGAAGAAAAGTTCTGATTATTCCAGCTCTGACTAGGTAACTCAGGGGATGCCTCTCCAAGGAGGTGCCATTCTAACTGTGAGTTGAAAGATGGCTGAGGGCTTACCAGGTGGAGACTTTCATGAAGGCTGTTGATTTACTTAGGCTTTGTTGATCATAAAGAACGAAAACTGTCCATGTGGAACTGTCCAGGAAAAGTCTCAGGAAAATTTTTGGTGAGACCCCAGATTCTGGACTTACAGGGCAGTTCTGCATCTGAGGTTCTTTTCCTGACCTTAGCAGCCAGAACCCCTAAATATTTAATGTGGTCTTCTATCTTTTCTTGCCTTCTCCAACCATCTACTTTATTCTCTGTACTTTCAGATATGAAACTAGAAGGATAGGTTAAAAGCAGATGGTGAAAGACCCTGTTTGGACCCACAGGTTCATTTCTATCTTTGTAGCCTCTGAAGATTTTTAAGCAGGAGAAAGAAATGATCGGAGAGATATAGAGAGGCTGGAGACAGGCAGACCAGAGGAAAGTATATGAAGGTCAAAACCAATGGAACTCAGTGAACGTGGGGACTGGGTAGTAGCAAATATATTCTACCATGGTCAACAATTTTATATCCCTTTAGGGGACAGGGACAAAGAGGGTTAAATCAGCTACATTTTGAAAAAACTCTCCAGTTGATCCTGACCGAGAACTACTGGTCCAAAGTGATGCCCATGCTGACAGAGAAACATCCATGGTGATAGAAATGGATGGAAGACAGGGATAGATTTGGAGACCAACTGGACTTGGTGGAAGGAGTCCACATAACTGTGTAGTCTCCAGCTCAGGAAGCTGAGAAGATGATGGTTTCATTTTCCAGGACTTGGGAAATGAACGGCAGAGTATGTTTACATATGAGAGTGGAGAGTGAGAGAAGCTGAGAGAAGAATTATACCCCCAGGGAGCTCAGGAATTCAGTCCCACTGTGTCCAGCAGGCAGAGAGCTGGAGATGGACTGACTCCAGTCAGTCTTTTCACTTTTCCTTCATGAGGCAGACCCTGCTGGCAAGAAACATGTTACCTGGGCATTAGTTAGTCAGACAGATGCTGAGTCTAGGTACAAAGCAATTTTCTCCAAGGTTTTGGTGATGGTGATGTTCCTTATCACAGATTTGTTTGTTGCTAACCAACTGGTCCTTGGTTTATTTGGTTTTTAAAAATCATTGGTGGAGAAGGAAATGGCAACCCACTCCAGTATTCTTGTCTGGAAAACAACATGGACAGAGGAGCCTGGTAGGCTACAGTCCATGGGTTCACAAAGAGTCGGACACGACTGACTTCACTGACTGACTTCACTTTAACTGGACAATTGTTGCCAGGTACATGCTTTTTAGAGGTAGGATGTGGTCTTAGATAGCTCCCACTTGTGCTTCCAGGAGGTGGTTACCCAGTCAATCACTTTCCTGGTTTGTTAGTCTATCCTCTTCAATGTTCTTTTCCCTCAAGTATCTTCTTTGGCCGTTTCTGAAAACAACTGTCTCAAATGCCCTTCATGGAAGCCAAGCAACTTTCTCATACTCTCCCCTGCTGAAGACAGTTGGGGGCTCAGAGGTTTACATTTCCAGGAGACCTAGTTCTCTCAGTCCTGGATGTCAGTATTTTGTTAATCAAATATCTCAAAAAAATTCTGGATCTTCTATTTTTTTTTAATTTTTTTCTATTTTTTTTTTCCCCAGTGTATGTCATGGGTCCCAAAACAGTCCTAATTTTCTGGAATGTGCATTTTTTCCTACTCTTAATCTTGGACACAGTAGGTTTCTGTGGGACTACGTCAGTAAACTTTTTCAATATGACTGTCTTCCTAAGTAAAAAATGTTTTGTTTTTATGATTAAAAGTAATTGCTTCTGCAACAAAGGATTAATCTCAAAAATATACAAACAACTCCTGCAGCTCAATTCCAATGACCCAATGACTCAATTTAAATGACCCAATAAAAAAATGGGCCAAAGAACTAAACAGACATTTCTCCAAAGAAGACATACAGATGGCTAACAAACACATGAAAAGATGCTCAACATCACTCATTATCAGAGAAATGCAAATCAAAACCACAATGATGTACCATTACACGCCAGTCAGGATGGCTGCTATCCAAAAGTCTACAAGCAATAATAAATGCTGGAGAGGGTGTGGAGAAAAGGGAACCCTCTTACACTGTTGGTGGGAATGCAAACTAGTACAGCCACTATGGAGAACAGTGTGGAGATTTCTTAAAAAATTGGAATTAGAACTGCCATATGACCCAGCAATCCCACTCCTGGGCATACACACCGAGGAAACCAGATCTGAATGAGACACGTGCACCCCAATGTTCATCGCAGCACTGTTTATAATAGCCAGGTCATGGAAGCAACCTAGATGCCCATCAGCAGACGAATGGATGAGGAAGCTGTGGTGCATATACACCATGGAATATTACTCAGCCATTAAAAAGAATTCATTTGAATCAGTTCTAATGAAATGGATGAAACTGGAGCCCATTATACAGAGTGAAGTAAGCCAGAAAGATAAAGACCAATACAGACCAATACAGGATACTAATGCATATATATGGAATTTAGAAAGATGGTAACGATAACCCTATATGCAAAACAGAAAAAGAGACATAGATGTACAGAACAGAATTTTGGATTCTGTGGGAGAAGGCGAAGGTGGGATGTTTCGAGAGAACAGCATCGAAACATGTATATTATCTAGGGTGAAACAGATCACCAGCCCAGGCTGGATGCATGAGACAAGTGCTCGGGCCTGGTGCACTGGGAAGACCCAGAGGGATGGGATGGAGAGGGAGGTGGGAGGGGGGATCGGGATGGGGAATACATGTAAATCCATGGCTGATTCATGTCAATGTATGACAAAAACCACTACAATATTGTAAAGTAATTAGCCTCCAACTAATAAAAATAAATGGAAAAAATAATAATTGCTTCTAAGGATCAAAACCCAAAGTATCTACCAATAATAAAATAATCTTCTGAAAAGAAAAATAAATAAATAAAACTCATTGGCCATGGGTGATTTTTTTTTAATATTTATTTGTTTTTTGACTGCGCTGCATCTTCACTGCTTTGTGAGTACTTTCTCTAGTCGTGGTGAGTGGGGGCCGCTCTTCATTGCGGTGACTTCTCTTGCTGCAGAGCACAGGCTCCAGGTGGGCTTCAGTAGTTGCAGCATGAGGGGCTCAGTAGTTGCAGCTCAAGGGCTCTAGAGCTCGGGCTCAGTAATTGTGGCACTTGAGCTTAGTTGCTCTGCGGTATGTGGGATCTTCCATGACCAGGGATCGAACCTGTGTCCCCTGCATGGGCCCACGGATTCTTACCCAGTGTGCCATCAGGGAAGTCCTGGCCCTTGGCTTAGAATGCTGGACCAAGTTTGACCAAAACATATCAATCAGGTACCAAGATTCTACTCTATGGGAGAGCTTTTAGTGAAGGGACAATTTAGAGGGAGGTGGGCAGGATTAAGGGTACCTTAAGATGTTGAGGCACCCAAGGGATACAAACAATGGATACAGACTCATCTAGGCCTGAACAGGCAGAAGGAAAGGATGGAACCCAGTGGAAGAGGGGGCTGTTGCTCCAGGGGTAGCTATTGTCACAGAGGAACGTGACACTGTCAGGTCTGAGGTTCCAGATCCGGGAGGGACAGGCAAGAAGCATCCCAGCCCGCCCGGTCCGCCTTTTCCCCGCCAGTCTCCTACCGGCGCTTCCCATTGGCTGGTGTAAGTTAGAAACCAGCCAACAGCGCAGAAGGGGCTGGAAGACGGAGGGGTCAGCTTCCTGGACACAGAGCGAGGCAGAGAAGGGTGAAAAAATGGCTCAGGGCGGCAGGCGAGATACACCAGCACAGCCACATCCTCCGACATGGCCTGTGCAAGGCCGTGGTGTGAGTCAATTCTGTGGAATGGCAGAAAAATGACACCCGAGATATGGAGATAGGAGGATTCCCGACAGTCCTGGCCTTCCCGCCCACCACGCATCCCCAGGGGCACGTGGCTTGCCTCTGGGGCTTCAATTGCTTCAGCTGTCAAATGAGTCAGCTGGACCCCGTGACCCTCAAAGCCCTCCAACACAGGGTCCCTTGATGAGGCTGTGAGTCGGCTGGCTCTGTCACCAGCACAGATTGGGCTCTGCCCCCACGGTCGCTGCCTCCCCGGGCTCCACCCGCTGCAGATAAGACGTCAGGACCCCCAAAGGATCCTGGGGCCGGCGGCCTCTGGGACTGCACTTGGCGCTCCTGTCTTCCAGTGAAACCCTGGGACGTGCAGAGTCGACCGGGGACTTTCACTGTGACGAGGCACATTCAAAAAGAAAGCAGCAGCTCCCCAGCCTGTGCTGCAGCCGCCGGGCCTGGTGCCCCCTGCTCAGTTCCTGATAACTGAAGGTGAAACTTGAACAGCAAAAGGGAAGTCTCCCGTCTCCTACTGGGTATCAAATCCTGTTTCTAGACAGTTTCAGTTCTTAAAGACACAGGATTCCATACTTTCTCACCAATAAGCTGGAAGGCAAAGAACCTTCGGTGACCACCAAGGGCACTGCCTGGCCCTGGGGTGAGATGCAAGTACACTGCAAAGCCTTTCTGAAATCCTGGTTTGAAAGCGTGGTCCAGAGATTTCTGAAATGCACCATCATCTTTCTTCTTATTAATGCAAAGAGTTAGACTGGATAAGGGCACAGATTTGCTCAGCCTGCTCTGGGGCCCCGGAGTGCCTCTTGGGCGGCTTTCTCCCTCCTAGCTTTCTGCAGGCTGAGATGACTCAGACCAGGGCAGGCCATCGTCTCCTTGTGGAGGTGTGAAGATGGTGCCTCCAGCTTCAGGGACACGCCGAGAGTGGCCACGGGGAGAAGCCCGCTCCTTTGTTGTGCCCTCGAAGGTCTAGACAGCCGGAGAACACCTTGCGGTGCAATGTGTTGGCTTGTGCTCGCCTTCAAAGCATTTGTTTGCAGTGACAGGTTCAACCCTGTGTTGTTAGTTTTCTGGACTCTGTAGCTCACTAAAAAGGATAGAGGAGGAAAAAAAGAACACAGAGAGGAAAATATGAATAGGAAAAGTTGAAACAGGTTTAAGGTGTTTTTTGTTTTTTTCTCTTTTTTTGTTTTGGGGTACAGCCGATTAACAAACAATGCTGTGATAGTGTCAGTTGAACAGCGAAGGGACTCATACATATACAGGTGTAACGATTTTTAAGCACAAAGGTATTTCAATACGAAGTAAATTTTAAAAGGCAATGTGTCTGCTGAAAATGAAGCAAGAAAAATATTTCCACAGAGATTCCGTTCATACCCGAGAAGTTTGCTCACGGAAGTTGGGCACCAGAATGGGTGGTTAGAAGGTGCTGGGAAATCTCTCACGTCAGGATCCGTTCATTTGCATATTTGACTATTTAAATGAGCTGTAACAAAGCGTGGGGTGTATGCGGTGACTCAGTGTACCGTCAAGGGAAGCACAGAATAAGACCATTCAATCCAATGCGTTGGGGATCCAGAAGGCTTCCAGGAAAAATGACCTGTAGCCTGTCATGGAAAGGATGCTTTGGAACTGGAAGAAAAAAATGAGGAGGAGGAACAGCAAAATATGAGGACCTGATTCAGGATAATGCAGTCCAAGACAGCAGAACCAGAGAAAGGGCCCCGGAGACTTTGCTCCTTGGAGGTGACGCTAGTCTCAACATACTGTCTCTGCCCACATGGGGTGAACATCTCCAAACCAACAATACTAGAATCATTTGAACCTGCTTAAAAATAATTTTTAAAAAATCATAGCTCTTATTCGGATATAAAATGAACACGTGTTAAAATTTTTAGGCACATTTAAGATAAATAATTAAAGATTAAATTAGATCATAAACAGCAATGATTATTAATCAACAGGGGAGCTGAGCAGTTATAACTAGTTCAGAAGAGAATGCAAAGGCTTATCCTATTTATGGGTCTGGAATATTGAAATGATTGTGCAAATTAAGGCAAACTGGTTTTTGGAGGGAGAGGACGGGAGGAAAATGATCATCTTTTGGTATAATTTGCATGTCTATAGGTAAGAATTACTTTGCATTGCTATCAGTTTGCTACAATTTATAGAATAGTAAAATAGCTCAAAGACACTGAAAGACCATAATTAGGTAACCTGAAGGGTGTTTTCTGGACAAACTGAAGGGACACCTCATTTTATTGCTCTTTGCTTTACTAGGCTTTGCAAATACTGTGGGTTTTTTTTTTTTTACAGATTGAAGGGTTGTGGCAACCTTGCATCAGGCAAGTCTATAGGTGCCATTTTTCCAAACAAATTTGTTCACTCTATATCTTTGTTTCACATTTTGGTAGTAATTCTTGCAATATTTCAAAATTTCTTTGTTATTATATTTGTTATGGTGATCTGTGATTAGCGATCTTTGGTGTTACTATTGCAATTGTTTTGAGTCTCCATGAACTGTGCCCGTATAAAACTTCATTAGTAAATGTTGTATGTGTCCTGCTTCTTCACTGACAAGCTGTTCCCCCAACTCTGCCCCTTTCCTCATGCATCCCCTATTCCCTGAGACACAATAATATTGAAATTAGGCCAGTTAGTGACCTTACAATGGCCTCTAAGTGCTCAAGTGAAAGGAAGAGTTACACATCTCTCACTTTAAATCAAAAAGCTAGAAATGATTAAGCTTAGTGAGGAAGGCATGTCCAAAGCCAGGATGGGCCAAAAGCTAGACAATAAACAGTTAACCAATTTGCGGATGCAAAGGAAAAGTTCTCAAAGGAAATTAAAAGTGCTACTTCAGTGAATACGCAAATTGACAAGAAAGCAAAACAGCTTCATGCGGATATGGAGAAAGCTTTAGTGGTCTGGATAGAGGACCAAATCAGCTACAACATTTCCTTCAGCCAAAGACTAACCCAGAACAAAGCCCTAACTCTCTCTAATTCAGTGAAGGTGGAGAGAGGTGAAGAGGCTGCAGAAGGTTTGAAGCTAGCAGAGGCTGGCTCATGAGGTTTCAGAAAATAAGTTGTCTCCATGATATAAAAGTGCAAGATGAAGCAGCAATTGCTGATGTAGAAGCTGCAGCAAGTTATCCGGAAGTTTAACTTAGATAATTAATGAAGGTGGCAACACACTAAACAACAGATTTTCAGTGTAGATGAAACAGCCTTCTATTGGATGAAGATGTCATCAAGGAATTTTACAGCTGGAGAGAAGGCAATGTCTCGCTTCAAAGCTTTAAAGCACAAGATGCTCCTCTTTTAGGGGCTGATGCAACTGGCGACTTGACATTGAAGCCAATGTTCATGTACCATTCTGAAAGTCCTAGAGCTTTTAAGAATTATGCTAAATCTACTCTGCCTGTACTCTATAAATGGAACAATAGAGCCTAGATGACAGTGTATCTATTTACAATATGGTTTAGTGAATATTTTAAGCCTACTGTTGAGACCTATTGCTCAGAAAAAAAGACTTTCAAAATATTACTGCTCATTGACAATGCACCTGGTCACCCAAGAGCTCTGATGGAGATGTATGAGATTAGTGTTGTTTTCATGCCTGCTAACACAACATCTACTCTGTAGCCCATGGACCAAGGAGTAACTTCTACTTTCAATTATTATCAGTATGTAAGAAACACATTTCATGAGGCTATAGCTGCCATAATTAGTGATTCCTCTGATGGATCTGGGCAAAGTAAATTGAAAGCCTTCTGGAAAGGGTTCCCCTTTCTAGATGCCATTAATATTCATGATTCATAGAAAGAGGTAGAAATTTAAGTATTAACAGGATTTGGAAGAGGTTGATTCCAGTCTTCACGGATGACTTTGAGGGGTTCAAAACTTCACTGGAGAAAGTAATTGCAGATGTGGAAGTAATTGCAGATGTGGTAGAAACAGCAAGAGAACTAGAATTAAAAATGGAGCTTGAAGATGTGACTGAATCACTGCAATCTTATGATAAAACTTTAACAGATGAGGAGTTGCTTCTTGAGAAAAAAAATGGTTTCTTTTTTTTTTAAATGGTTTCTTAAGATAGAATCTACTCCTGGTGAAGATGGTGTGAAGATTGCTAAAATGACAACATAGGATTTATAATATTATATAAACCTAGTTGCTAAAGCAGTGATGAAACTGGTCAGGACCCTGCGGTGGGGTCTTCCCAGAGACAGACCCCACCCCTTCCTTATGTCCCCTACCTATGGTAGGCCTTCCCCAAGTTCCAAAGAACAAATTTAATCAGAGAAGTGAGAAAATACCAAAACAAAGGAAAGCAGTCAAGCAAGACAAAAGAATAGTAGTTTAGCCATAAAACGAAGGGAAGGACGTTTAGTTCCTCCTCAAGGTTTATAGATCCTGTCCTGAGCCATACCCTTGAGTTGTTTTGCTGATCCTAAAACCTCCACCAAGTGGAAAAAGTTAACTGTATGCTGACCATCAGAATGTAGACCCCAGGCCACTTAGAACCAGAAGGTTGATAATTGAGATTCCAGAAACATCACCCTGTTCCCTCACCACCAACCAATCAGAAGAGTGAACACAGATGATCATGTACCCTGTCCATCTCCATCATCTTGCCTTTAAAAACCCTTCCCTGAAAGCCATCTAGGAGTTTGGTCTTTTGAGCATGATCTGCCTATCCTTCTTGCCTGGCCCTGCAATAAGCTCTGAACTTTCCTTCAGCACAATCCAGTGTCAGTAGATTGGCTTAACTGCCTGTAGAGTGAGCACCCCCAAATTTGCTTCAGTAACAGTGACAAGGATTGACTCCAGTTTTGAAAGAAGTTCTACAAGGAGGTAAAGATGCTATTGAACAGCATTCTATATTGAACAGCCACAAAGAAATTGCTTGTGAAAGGAAGAGTCAATTGATTAGGCAAACTTCCTTGCTCTCTTTTTTTAAGAAACCACCACAGCCAGCTTCAGCAACTGCCACTCTGATGAGATCAGTCATCAGCCAACACCATCCACCAGCAGTGAAACACTCCACTGGCAAGAAGATGATGATTCA